ATATGCTGCATGTTACTGTCATTTTGATACAGTTGTTATGAAGAAATAAAGAGTTGAAACAAGCAAATATTCTTTTTCTGAGCAGTACTGAGTGGCAGTGAATACAATGAGTCATACTAAATACGCAGAAACAAGTGGAGACCCGCAAGAAACTTGCGGGATGGTTATCTCATTCGTCACACCCTTGCTTCCTCTCCTCACCCCCAACCTCTCTCACACTATTTCTCCCCTGCCCCCTTTTCTTACACTCTATTTCTCCTCCATGCATGTGACTTCCTCTTTCTTTCTGACCTGTCATCTTTCTCTTTGTTTTTCTGCCTCCCCACTTCATCACTCTTTCTCTTTCTGCCCTCACCCCACCATTATTTCTTTCTGCCCCCATCACTCTCCCAGCCTCCTGTCTGCTTCCTCCCCCACTCCACAGAGCAGCAGTGGTGGCAGTGCTCCTAGCCACCCACCTGCTTCCTCTCCCCCCACAGCAGCAGTGGCAGCGGTCTGGGAATCACAATGGATTTCCAGTCCTCACCCGGAGGCTGGTAATGGTGGTTCTCGTGGAGGAAATGGCTGGAGGGTGGAGTCTATGACATTACACCAGTCCATAGTTCCGCCCCTCCTCAAATCCCACCCTCTCCAGGCTCCACCCCTCAAATGTCCAGGAATTTCCCAACCTGGAGTTGGCAACCCTATTTCCTTCCCACGACCTGGAGACCCCCCAGAATTACAACTGGACTCTAGACAGCAGAGGTCTGTCTCCCTGCAGAAAATGGCTGCTTTGGAGGGTGGACTCTGTGGCATTATACCCAGCTGAGGCCTCTCCCTTCCCAAACCCAGCCCTCCTTAGAGTCCACCACAAAATCTCTAGAAATCCCCCAGCCTGGCACTGGCAACCCTTGTGAGGCCTGCCTCCAAGGCTCGCTCCCTCCTTGAAAGGCCAAAAGAGGCCTGGAAAGGGCCCTTCCCCCACCCTTTTACTGACAGAGCCAGTTAGAAGCCCCCCAAAAAACATTCTAATCTCTCATCGTTGATGCCTGAAGCAGATCCCTACAGAGGCCATTTCAAAAGGTTTTGGGGGGAATTCAACCGTCTCTGAAGGGATTTTTTTTAGTTTTTGGATTTTTCTACAAACCCAGGAAGTCTACTGATTACGTAGGAAATGCTGTTGGGGGAGAGTGAGCCCCCTGTTGGTGGAAATAAGTATCCGCACAGAAAAAAACCCACTAGCTAATAGAATAAGGATGGTATAAATAATAAAATAACAGCATTGACTTTTTTGTTTAGAGGAATCCATCATCAGCATAAAGGAGGATTCTGGAAACTATCCACCTTTGAGATAACCATCTTTCTGTTCTACGGTGTCCAGGATAGTGTTTCAGTCACATCATATACATCACACATCCACAGTATATCATCTAAAAGAAAGAAAAAAGCTGACCAGCCAGGAACCACCATAGGTAAGTTTGTGACAAAAACCAGCAGATTAGAAAAAGAGTTAATTAATGAAAAAACTGCCCAGTTTGTTTACGTGAAAAACTCTTCTTTCCATCTGATTGAAAACCCACACTTCATTAATATGGTTCAGTCACTGAGACCAGGATACAGTCCACTTGGCAGAGCAGATGTTGCAGGGAAACTGCTGGATAAAGTGCATGACAGAGAAAGGGAGCAATGTGGAACAGCTCAAGAGGGTAAAATTGTTAACCTAAGTCTTGATGGGTGGAGTAATGCCACATTGATCCTGTTGTATATGCTTGTGTAACAACAGAAGAAAGGAATGTCTTCCTTGCAGAAACTACTGATACATCAGGAAATGCACACACAGCAGAATAATGACAAGAAGCGGCAGCAAAAGCTATCATAACATATGAACAAAAATTCAAATATCTAGTACAGAGTTTGGTCATAAACAATGCTACAAATGTATCTAAGATGAGAAGAAATTTAGAAGAGCAGGAAGGGAATACAAAGCTAATAACATGGTTGCAATGCTCATTTGCTGTACCTCCTAGCCAAAGACTTCAGTGTCCCAGAAAGAAAAAATTGCTAAGTACTTCCGTAACAATAATTTTGCAGCAGCAGCTCTTAGAGAATGGGTGGAACCAAGCTAATGTCCCCACAAGATGTTAGATGGAACTCTGCAGTGGACTGTTTTGAGTAGTATATCAAAAACTGGCCTATTCTGATGACAGTTTGTGAACCAAATTGAGAGAAAATAGATGGCACTGTCATGGCCAAAATCCTCAACATTGGGCTTAAGAGAAATGTTGAACATATGCTGAGCATCCTGAAACCCATTTCTGAAGCTTTAAACAAAATACAGGAAAATAGCTGTTTTATTGCTGATTGCTGTTGAAATTTGGAAGGAACTAAGTGAGCACTTAAAAACAGAACTACACACTGGCAGAATTAAATTACAAGCATTAAAAAAGGAATGGGACAAGCACTGTCTCCAGTTCATTTTCTCGCCAATATTGTCAATATCCGGGACCAGGGTCAAACCTTAAGTGCTGAGGAAGAGGAGTTAGCTATGACATGGGTATCCAGCAGTCATCCATCTGTAATGCCAACTAGAATAAACTTCAGAGCTAAAGGGGAACCCATTCAAGAAATATGTTTGCTGATGATGTTTTAAAGAAAGTCACACTGGTGAACTGGTGGAAGTCACTCAAGCACGTGGATTTAGAGACTGTTGAAGTAATGATTTCACTTTTAACAGCAGTAGCTTCTTCTGCTGGTGTAGAAAGAATATTCTCTTCCTTTTGACTCATTCATTCTAAATTGAGAAATCGTTTGGGACCCGATAAAACAAGAAAGTTTGTTTTTCTTTTCCAGATTATGAACAAACAAGAAAATGAAGACGAGTGAGCTACAGAGGACAGTATTTTAAGTTCTTCATGTGTGGACCGGGCTGAGTTTAAAAAAAGATATTTTGTTTAACCACATCAGTTAACAAGCATAGATGTTTAAGCAAATACAAGAATACATATGTTATAATGTTGTTGTTGAAGTTAAATAAAACTATTTAAATTGTTATTAAGGTAATGATTATTTTTCTCCTTCCAATAAAGTATAGCAGAAAAGTTGTCCAAATACAAATGATTGACCTATTAAACTGGAGATAGTTCACCTAGCAATAATTTCATAATTATCTATGAGTTTCTAATAGTATAATAAATCAGTAATTTTTTTGCTATAACTGTAAAACTAATCTGAAAAGTTGTTATTCTAAAAACGAAACTTTCATCTGGTTCTAAATATTAAGATTATACCAGCAAGAATGAGTCTTTATACAGAAAACCATGATTTAAATTTACTCTTACTAACTAGTGATTTAAATTGTGATTTAAATCAATTTGATTTAAATCAAATCCACCCTGCCTTGCTCTGTCGTCATGTTCTCTTTATCCCAGATGTGAACTGCTCTATTGTCATGTTCTCTTTATCCCAGATGTGAACATGTAAAATGCAAAGTACCTCTTTATTACAGTGACCTGGCATGGCTTGATTGGGTGCCAAAGTGCCAACTGGCACTGAATTAATGATCAGGACAGAGACTGGCACAACTGAGGTCTCACATCACTGTATGCCATTGTACTAGTTGCTTGCAAAGAACTACAGGTGATGGGAAAATGGCAACATCTGGAAAGGCCATTGTTTTATTTCTCCTGTGAACATCTACAACATCTTTTCATGTACAGGTAGCTTGCAACACATCCGACCTGCAAGTGCATACAATACATGAGCTGTGCTCTGAAAAAGGGAAGGACATTATGACATTGCAAATGGTGTATCTGAAGCAGACCCCTGTCATACTTATATTCCCTAAAGGTGGGAGGAAGGATTAATACAAATGGGTAGAAAGTATGCCTAGCCTAACCAGTTCCCACATGGGAAAAACTCCCATAACCATTTTATCTACAACAGATCTGAAATCCTGATAAAACATCTATCGAATGCTTCTAACAGTTTACCTTTTATAACCTCATTGAATCCCATTGCTCTGTAACTGAAGTAGAGTTTCTTCAAAGATGGAATTCCCAGCTGACTTGGGCTCTGGTAGAACGGAGGGGTGCAGGGCTGCATCAGAAGGTCGTGGAACGGCAGTGAGAAGTGGGAGGGAGAGAGGGGTCTTCAGCTGGAGCCAGGCGTGACAGAGGTGGCTGGATCCTCCCCTCCCTCCTTGCACGATGTCCTCAAACGCCCCTTAGAGTTAACAGTCCTTCCATAGGCATTCTTGATCATTCTGTCTTCAGTTCAAGCTCTTTTGCCTCCTGCTCTTCCATTTGTATCTGCCAGCCATCTTTAAAACCAAGATTCTGCTTCTGCTCTTATGTTGAAAGCCCTTCCTCATCCTCCTTGCCACATTACCACCACAAATAGATTGAAACGTTTTGCTCAACATTTCTTTCGCAGAT